ATTATATTATATTATATTATATTATATTATGTTTATGCATTGTGCATATGTGTTTATATACACTAGTCAACATTTGAAATCAAAACCTTTCATCAAAGTTGTCCTAAAACCTAAAACCAAAATGTGTTCTTGTCTTAAGACAACTTAGGAAAATCCACATAATCTATATGTTTAGTAATAATTATAAATATGTAGTATTTATAGACAAAAATATAAAAATATATAATTATAAAAATATATAATAACAATAATGATGATGATAATAATAATAATTAACACTTTGCATTCTATGTTTTAAATTAAATGTATTTTGTTTTGGATAAAAGCATCTGCCTACTATTATATTATATTATATTATATTATATTATATTATATTAATTATATTATTATGTACATTAATGCATTTGCATGCACACTCATATCTAATATTTCATTTCATTCATTTATCATAGATTTTTCTTAATGTTTTTACTAAAAGACCCATGGGTCAATATCACTGTAGGGTGCCTTTTGGTGTCCTGTACATAAATAACTCATTTGCCATGATAACATAAAAATGACTATGAAATGGTGTGTTATATTAGGTTAAGTTTTTATATTCATAACAAAAGCATTACTTGGCTCTTTAGATACATTTTCTATATTTTTTTTAGTTTTGTGTAAGAGGATGTGTGTTATTTTGCTATTTCCCATGCACTGCTCATTAAATTGAATGATATGAATGATTGAATTATAATAGAATATTGTCAAATCATAACATTTAAAAACAAAAACAAATCTCCTATTAATATTTTGTTAAATAAGAGATTACTCAATTTGAGTGTATTGTTCATTTGGTAATAAAAACGATATTTTTATTTAATAAAAAAAAAGAGTTTGTCCATTTTTCCTAGAATGGTTGTCCACCCTGTTGTATTGAGGAATCCTCCCCTTTAAGAAAAGGCCATCCCCTTTAGTGACATCAGGACAACAGATTTTTTGTCTCTTCAGTGCCGGGAATTTCAACGGCTGAGGTGAATAAATTGGTGACTTTTCAAATGACAAATTTTCTTTGTGTGAGTTTGCTTAAGTAAGCAATGGCTTTGCCATTAACATGTCTACCCTGTCGGCATAAAATATGCCAGAAGTGATTCAAATACAGTATTTTCAAAATATGTAAGTTTAAATATACCAAATTCTCTTCAACAACCAGACTAAATATTTAGCTAGTCACAGTTTGTTTTAAACTAATATGGAAACTGAAGCTCAAAATGTCCACCCTGTCGTTGTTCCAAAATGTCCACCCTGTCGGCCACTTAGACTCGATAGAGTGGACATAAACATGACAGGGTGGACCTAGCATTCATTTGTAGTTAATATTGCTAAAAACCAAAATGAATGAATGAGTCAATGTGAATGAGGATGTAATTAATATATTATTTATTATTATATTATTTTTTTAATAACCCTGTTTAGGAAAGGGACATCATACCTTTCAGAAAATATAATTTGCATCTTAATTTTGCAATGAAAACGTATTTAACAGTAATATATATGTATAATATAAACAAAATATATATATAATATATATTATAATATATATAAACAAAAAGTTTTATGATTATAAAAACTCTAAAAGTTACATTTTCCACCAAGATATGTTTAACATTT